CTTACAGCTGACTCCCGCCACCCCACACTGACTGCCTCTTACAGCTGACTCCCGCCATCCCACACTGACTCCCTCTCATGGCTCTGAGTCCCATCATTCCATGCTGACTCCCATTACAGCTTTGACTCCTGCCGTCCCAAGCTGACTTCCTCTTACCGCTGTGCCCACCCATGTGCATGTGGGTGAAATAGTGGTGCATTTTCAGCAGAGCCTTTTCTTTTCAATTTCTTCTCTAATTCCCATCACCCCCCACAGGCTCCCCTGGAAGTGCTAGTCTGTGGCCATGACGGCCTTGCTAAACCATGCTAAGGCCTTGCTCAGGGCAAGACAGCCCAGTCTCTCCCCAGAGCAGTGTGGTGGTGGTGGTGGGGGGGGGAGGGCTCACAGACACTCCACCACAATACCCACCCAATAAAGTCACCCACACCTAGGCTGCCATGCTGCCCTCTTACATACCAGCATCAGCTCACAACTGTAACTGCAGTGAGCCATGGGGGGGGGGGGGGGGTGTTCATAAAACGCTGTGATCCGTGCAGTACATACTGTGGTTGGAACACAGCCCCAAGCACACCATCCTGATCTGCATTTTTGTGGAATAAGGCAAAATATTTCAGTATTTATTTTTTTTACTAGATTTTTTGCATTTTCAGAGGTTCTGCTCTTGAGGTTCCACTAAAACCCAAGGCTCTGTGCAGGCCAAGCCATCACTGGCAGCCCCTCCAGGCGGCCCGGACACCCGCCTCTTGGAAATAAACATGCTCTTTCCACCTTTTCCGAGCTGCTGTCAGTCCAAATCAGGCCGCCTGGTGCTCACAAAACCAAGCTGCTCAGGGTCGCTGCCCACCCTATACAAACAGTCCCTCTCTGCACTGCCATCTGCCCCATTTTGCGGCTCATGTGAGGTAGCGGCAGGTAAGTTTCACTGAAAATTTGCTGGAGGGGAGCTAAACTCAATTTACCCCCCAGGACCCATGTTGGAATTCCACATCTCTGTCCCAAACTATGAAATGGCAGCAATTCTTCGGAGGCCACGTTTAACAAGGAGAGGCTTCGGCAAATGAGCAGTGCACGTCCTAAGCGAGACCAGCCCAGATAATCATTCCCAATGTCTGTCGGTGCTGGTGTCTCGTTCCTCCTCCAGAGTGACGGGACAGCGGCCGGGGCGAGCACAATAATAAGCACAGCCCGGTCCTGCCACACATATCATACCAGCCGAGAAAACTAGCAGGTGAAGAAGGCACCGCGAGTCGTCCCAATTACGCCATCGAGATGGTGCCGTCCTCCGGGGTACGGCGGCCGCTGGCGGCGCTCCGGCGGTAATTAACGGTCCGTCGCTGCTTAGACGAGCATGTCGGGAAGGGTTCATTATTAATCCATTACACCCTCTTTCATTTTTTGGTACAAATTACACTAATTACACCGCAGTACAGAAGAAGTTATTTGTCACGTGCTGGTGAAAATGATGGCTACCTAAGGAATATGAGGTTTGTGAGCCAGGGGATAGTGTTTTTGTCCACGTGAGTATTTAGTTTCAGGAGATTGGATGTCAGCTACTAGGTGATGAGAAGCATCTAATTGATGTTTTTTCTTCCAGCAGTGAGAGTGTGCTGTGTGGCTTAACGCATCACCATCTAAACATTAGGAGCCAAGCGATATATAGCTCTTTCAGTCTGGAACCAGCACAGGATTACAGAGCCCATCCTGGGAAACACAGAATATGAGAAAGAATGCATTCATACATGTTTAGGTCATCTCAATATGTTGTATCAACACTTCTGGAACATACCGATCCGATGAACCTAGTCTGCAGGCAAAATGTATGTATGTGAAAAGCAGAGCGAGTGTGGAAACCAGCAGCAGGATAGGAGGCGGAGGACGGGACGGCTCCATCAGTGGCGCTTAGTCAGTGTGTGTGTTCGTGTGCTTCGGCGAGGCACGCGCTCACGTGTGTATGCATGCGAGAGTGTGCTCGCAGCAACACAGAGGCCCGGTGTTTGGCATGTCTGCCCAGCTCGGGAGAGAGAGAGAGACAGAGAGAGGGAGAGAGAGAGAGAGAGAGAGAGAAAGGAGACAAAGAAACAGACAAGGAGAGGGAGGGACAGAGCATGTGGGCCGCCAAGCGCTAAGGGAGCAGAGTTATTTTTAAGGGCCGGCGAGACAGGCTAAGGCAATTAGGAGAGAGAGACCAGGAAGGGTCTGCAGAGGGGGAAAAGGCCACCCGGCCAGAAAGAACCGTCCCCTCCTTCTCAAGATCACAGACCTGCTCGCCGGTAATGTGTGTGTGTGTATGTGTGCAGCAGGGAGATAGATTTTACAGAAAGAAAGGCTACACACATTTACAGAGGCGAGTTTGTGTGCCTTAGGGATACAGTGCGACTCTCAGTTCATACCGTTGACGTAATCAGCAGTGCTGGGCTGGCCAAGCAAAGCTTCTGCCTCTCTCTCTCTCTCTCTCACACACACACACACACACACTCCAGAGCCTTTACTGTCAAAACTGCTAGACAGCATTATGGTGAGGGAATGAAGGTGAGTAGTTACCTTATTTCATAACTCACACACATACCTATGCTGAAGCACATGAACACTCAAACACACAGAGACAATGTACAGGTGCCCCCCCCAAGAACATCCACAAGGGCTGGTGGAACAACCAGCACCTGCAGGTCCCCTTGCCAGAATACAATTGCATAGCAACACGCGTCAGGGGACCGATGGGAGTCACTTGGTTTTGTGAACAGTCAACTGACTAGAAACAAAGCCAAAGATCAGAGCTTCCTGCGTGAATGCATTCCACACCTCCTTTCAGGAAGCTATCAAACCTCCCGTGGTCTTGTCAGCATCTCCTTCATCAGCCTTCTTTAAGTTTAATTGCTTATAATCTAATACACTGTCAATACTTCATAACTGATAGTACTGTTTAGATCATGGTGACCTTGGTAATTGCCTAAATGAGGGTGTGGTACACAACTAGCACTTGAGCAACAAGGTTTAACTGTAACCATGGTCACTGAATGCAGATGAATGACTGTGAAGGGAGAGGTTTGCTCTCCATGGCTGGTCCATGAGCTGCAGCCCTCAGCTCACGAGGTGTCACCTTCCAGCATCAGTACCGCTGGCACATGTGCACATTGAAACGGGTCGCCCAAGGAGTTGTGTATTTAATGGATTCTGTGAGACCTAGTTTCCCAAATGTCAGCTCTGGCCAGCATAGGATCAGATATCAGGCCTTGGAGGTGAAAACACGGCCATTTTGCACTGCTACAATGTTCCCTAATCACCAGATACAGGCTTCCCTTGAATCTCCAGGAGAAACCAAGAGCTAATGACGACAGAATGTCAATAAACCCACACAGAACATTTGAACCATATCAGTGTCCTTCTACCCTCAACAGCAAAAACACACCTTCCTTTAACAATTTTCTCTGGGGCCCATTTACTTAGCAAATACCTCACCAGAATGTCTGTCACTGTGCTCCAAATAAGGCCAAAGTGTGTGTGAAATGCCGGGGGTCCCCAGAGGGATCACAAGCAAACACGGATGGTAGCAGCATGCGGGTACCGGCTGGCGTCCTCCTGACGCACGCAGAACACCAGATAAAGATCTCAGCTGCGGAACAGGAGCTGCGTCTGCAAGAGATTTCCTTACAGGAATAGCCATGCCCCCCTCATATGTCAGGCTGCTATCAGTATTTGCCCTGTTCGACAAGCACGTGGCAGAAGGGGCACTACCTGCAAGGGTGGGGTGGGGAGGGGGGGAGCCCAGATTCCACTACAGTCAATAGTCAATACAGGCACTGTATTCCTGTACCGGATCCGACCCCCCCCCGTCCGGCCTGTCCTCAGAGGGGAAAATAGATTCCTGCCCAGGCTGCCGCCCCCCATGCCAAGACAGTGCGGTTGGGCCAGATGATTATAGTAAATGATGAATAGCCTGATGCTAAGTGGAGCCATGGAAACGATGAAACACGATACAAACCGAAAAACCCCAGAAACCCCCCACACACGGACCTAGGAAGATGCCATTACAGAACTCAGTGCCATTACCGGGTAAATGAGTCCCATTACTGACAGCGAGGATCCATCTCCAGTTTGGCGTCTCACCTCCTTACTAGTCTCCATTCTCTGGCTCCACAACGAAAAGAACCCGCTTATAGGAAACATGCATTTTTTTAAAATACCTGTATGCTGCGTTATTTTCCCTGGGGGCGTATACTGAGCAGTAAGTCCAATGCTGCTTGGGATAGGCTTTTAAGGACCCAAACCGGCGGGAAAAAAAGGCTTGTACTTAATATTTAGTGCTAATTTCACACAGAGTGCATTTCACACAGAGAAGAAAACAAGCGTAGCGGCGGCAACATAACGGAAACAAAACGAGCAGGCGCCAGAGCGCGCGCGCACGGAGGGAGCGGGAAACCAAAGGGGAGCCCCGACTCTCCGTAAGCGCGCTGCCCTGCGAAGCAGCCTGCCAGCTCTGCGGACAGAAGGGAGGGGAGGAGAGGAGGGGAATAAAAAGGACAGAGGTACCGTAGGAATATTACATTCAATGGCTACCTGCGATCTCCGGTCAGGACGGTAGGAATTTAAGCTCGGGGAAAGATAGACCGTGTCCACGGTGCTGAGGAGCGAGGACCCGGCTTAGGTTCGCGTGTTATTCGCGTCGTAGATGCGCTATGAAGGGATGAAACGCAACGACACGGCGTGCTCTGCCTTTGGGATGGTAAGCGGTCCGGGACTGCGGGCGTCTGGTGGACCTCAGCGAGCCACAGTCACTAGACTTTTAATGTTTAGTATGGGCCAGTAGCCAAAGGAAGGGTGGACGGCGTAACAGAAGGCCTCCCTTAAACCGAATTGGTAAACGCACCTTTAGTTTTTAAAAATGTATAAACCCGTTGGAGTCTTCATTGTACGTACAGTATGATCAGCTTTGAGCTAATCAGCCGCCACATGATCTACCAGTATTCATGAAACAGCCCAATAACTTATTTAGCGGTTTCTTTTATTGACAAGCATGTTACGCATTCAACAAATAAAAACACATAACATTTGTTTGATGATCTTTATTGTAACTTAGTGACATTCACCACTCATGATTAATGAAGTTGAAAATACGAGCACCCACTGGAAGAATACTGGTTCCACCTTGTGGACAAATTGAGAATACATATTGCTTATTGAGACATTGGAAACTGCCGAGTACGTCCTGGTACAGTACAACCTGGAACATTACAAAATTTTAAATAAATACACAGACATTCATTGAAGATCATAGTACTGTCAGGATGTTTGAAAATGCAGAAGGCACTGGGTCAGACCATAAACAGAAACAGTCTGAATTTTTAGGACCAAAAAGGCACTTGGGGAACACTCAGTGACGGTTTGTGGCACCTTTTAATAATGGTTGACTAACTGTAAAAACCAGGCTTTCATTAACGTCATATTAACATGCTGTTCATTCTAGTTCGTATGTAAGAGCTTTTCATATCCTCAGTAAAAATGTAAATCAAACACTATTCATCCTCAGAACTTTGTCAAGACTGAGTTCAGTACCTATATTACTGAATAAACAGCAGGTTCTCCATGCATTGGATTACAGAGATCATACAGTATTATAGTTAGCACACTATACAAGCTGGACCACACATCACTCCCACCCCAAAGCTTAGTGCTCTAATACACATACAGGATCCATCATGATTCACCTACTGTATAGCACACAACCTACATTACCATGAACTAGTTAAAATATAAAGGTGGAGCCATACAGCAACAGGCATAAATTCAGTTTAAAATCTAGCACATAAAAATGAAAGATCCTGCAGGAAATTATGTAATCTGAAAGACTCTTACAAGTCATAATAATCAGTTTTGATGCACTCAGCATAACATGTAGAAGACAGCACTGCCATGGCTAGCACTGGATATCACTGCTCGATAGCTGCTGCACGCTCATTAGCTTTGCAACAGAGATGGTCCTGCGTCACCTGGAAGGTGGTGCTGACACAGAGGTGCCCCTCCTTTCCTGCCCACTGCCCTGCATAGCACATCCTCGCCATCGCCAGCCAGGATGAAGGCACAGGAGGGATCACACAGCGAGCCCTTTGCTGCCAGGGCCCTGTTGTCGCCGTGGCAGCAGGGGGGTGGGGGGGGGAAGGGGGAGAGGAGGTGTGTCATACTAGAGGGGTAAAGCTGCACACGGGTCTTATCTCCCCCTCACATTGCTGCTTAGGGGGCTGCTTGGGGGGCCAGCAATGGCCTGTAGGAAGAAAAACACCTAAAAGCACACAGGCGTGTGGGCACACACTGCCACCTGCGGCTCTTTAGTGGAGAGACATGCCAAACACAAACGCGCTACTTTCACATGCTTATGAGGAGCGGAAGCAGATACAAAGGCAGGCTGAGTGCAGAGTTATCAAACAGGTAGACTGTGCTGATTGCAGCCATTGTTTGCCACAACTGGCTGTTATTTCAAAGGCTGAGACCATGTGTTTATCAATTTTCCTTGACTTGAAAGTTTTAGCAGACAAGCAATACGAGTAATAAAAGCAAAATCATAAAACTATACAAACATACACAAATCATTATAAAAAGACACTTCTGGGTATAATAAAATGTGAAAAGGGCTGGGGGATTCCTTGGAAATTAGGCTACAATTGGCCACCTTTCCTATTGGTTGAAACACTGGCTTTATTGACCAATGAGAAAATAAACAGATGAACAAGTGCAAAAAATAGCTCAACGGTTACTCTGGGAGACACACACAGTCCTAAGCGCCATGGCTTTACTCTTCAGGAAAAGGGACTTAACTGAAGTCCCTGTTGGGCAGAATGAGAGGGGCCACTAAGGTCCACAGGTAGAGTGCAAGGCCCAGCCAGCTGGAGGCAATCTTCACCCAGACCGCAGGCATGGTGCTCAGCATGGCCTGGGTGGTGGTTTCGGGCCTGCGTGGGAGGAGGATACAGATGGAGAGGCAGACGGGGGTAATAAAGTAGAGAGGAGAGAAGGCAGAGGAGGGAGGGAGGTAGTTGGGCTGTGAATTAGACCAGAATCAAAAGGAAAATGGCCAACCTTCATAATGCCTGCTCAGTCTGGCCCTGGGGCCTCTCACAAGTTAAAGTGCACAGTGAAAACTGCTGGTATTCAGAAGCTCCACCCCTTAACACTGTCACTGTCATTTGTTCAGTCTGACATACTCCACTGTAACTAAGCAGCTTGGTGTCACATGATCCTGAACCATTAGACATCACAAACATTAGAAGGGCGATACTCACTGGTACCAGCTTGTGAGGGTCATCATGATGTAGAGAGAGGCCAGGAAGAGGCAGAAGTGGAAGAAGGAGTAGCTGTAGGTGACGCTTTCTTCCTCATTGTCCACGGCCCTCCTGAAGCCGCCCTCCTCAGCCCCTCCCTCTGAGGACTCGCCTCCCTCCCCGGTCTGCATCAGCCTGTTTACCTGAGTGTTGCTAGAGGACCTGATGCTGTGGATGGGAATTTGGAAGACAGGATCAGAGGCTAAAGTCTTTGTTAGTGCCCAAGGCCATGAAGTCTCCTTATGCACCTATCCAGCTACATCAGACAAAGGCTCCTGTCAGACGTAATTTTCACAAGTCTACCAGTTGAAGATCATTAAGCCACCTAGAGTTTACCTTGCATAGAGGGTGCAGAAAAAAAAGATGACCAGTCCTACAATGCCCTGCGCATCCCACCACTGCACCTGCCCTGGGGTGGCAGTGGGGCTGGGGACACTGGTGCTGTTGGACACCAGGCTCAGAAGGCTGGGGTTACAACTGCGGTCTAGGGAGATATACACAGTGGGTGGGGGTGGGGGTGGGGGTGAACAGGGAGGTAACTTTCAAACTAAAGTACATGGACATACTAGGGGTAGGAATCTGTGACTGTGTCTAGGTTATGGGTTTGAATCCCTGAGTGGCACAGTAATCAGTTGCCACTGGGCACTTACCGGGGTTGTTGGTCATGGAGGACCAGGTGACATACATGGTATAGAGGCTGATGAGGGATGCCTGCAGCAGGCCAGACTCTGGCTGGGCTTCCTGCAGCACACACACAAACTGATGGACAGGCACAAAACTACCCATGCAGAGCTCCAGTACCTGCATGCTAATGTGTGATCTTCACATACTGCATTAGACCGAGAGTGATTGAATAATGACAACAAAAATATAAATGTACATATTACATCTCTTATGGTTAGTCTCTTGAGGTCTCATCCTAACCTAATTTTTTTGACGATTAATCTTGTGTGGGAATAAAGCACTACAGAGAGGCAGATGAGGCACAAACCTGCACTGGGGGCAGGATTGCCACGATGGAAACAATGATGCAGAAGATGAGGTTGAGGCTAATGAAGACCTTGTGCTCGGTGCAACCACTGGGCTGTGTGTAGTATACGTAGAAAAGCACCACAGCGGTGAAGGCCAGGGCGTAGTGCAGAATAGTGAAGGACAGCAGGCCTGCCAGCCACAAGGGGGCATCAAAGCTTCACCTCGGTTTCATTCACAAATATGTCTTTCTACTGGTAACATTTACTAGAGCTACTTACATATGTATACTAATTGGTAATGCAGTAGTCAGATTTAAAAAAAAAACTTCCTGATAAACAAAAGAATTTCATTTCATTCTATTGTCCCATTTAAAAACTGATAACACAACTTATCATAACCACTATTTTCACGTCATGTTTTTTTTCTACAAATTAATTTTATAGTCTTCCACAAGACAGTTAAAAGGCAGAAATAAAAAAAACATATTAGCCAGGCTGCCCAACTCCCCTGAGCACTCTAAGATTATAAAAGACAAAGAAAATTATCAGTCCTTCCTAAATGTACCATGAAACATTGGATAAACACTGCAAAAAGCGCACCTGCAAACCAGCACTTTCTGTTCCCCTCCTCGGCATTCTCAAGCCAGGCCTTGTTCCAGTTGTAGGCAAAGTCAATGAGGAGGATGAGCTGGATGACGATGAAGATAAAGGAGCCCACCACACCAAAGTAGAACCACACTGTGTGAGAAAAGGGATTTCATTTAGCAACACGTTCCCTGCATCTGTTGGAACAGGAGGCTCTGAACCATGCCACTTCCTGCTGACTGTCAAGGGGTGGGTTATAATCTGGCTACAGCATAAAAAGTACAGCAGATCACCAATGGGTGTTATTCTGTATTTACGCAATGGGTATTAAATCAAGCAAATGTTACAGCGATGCAGACAGCCAGACAAAGTGTGGGAAGAGCCCTGGGACGTGGTACTGTGAGCACAGAACACATTTGTGCTGCTGCTGATGCACAGAGAGCCTGACTACCTCCCTCTTACATAAGCAGGCACCACCCCTATTCTGTTTCACTATTTTTAGTTGCCCCTTTCATTGGCACCTTCAGTTTGTGCTGCTGCTCAGCTAGCAGGAGGCATGGTTTCCTCATCACATTTATGATCAGATGATAACTAATGAAAAAACAAAGAAGGTGCTGCACAGTATATAAAGCCTTAGCTGCAGGACACAGGAAACTGTAATCAATCACTTTCTCAGTGGAGACACTGACTGAATCCCAGGCAACTGAATTTGGGTCACTTTCCGACATTAAAGCTGCTCTCCGCAAGGTTGGCACTCTTTGCAGGCCGTTCCCTTCAGCACAGCTGCATGGGAGTAATGAGTGAAGTGCTCTCAAGCTGCTATACAACCGAATGCATTAAGATGCATGTGAACATCTGCCTTGCATCCCTGTCCTGCTTTGACTCAGGTTCCCCTGCTTGGCAGCTTACTGGCTGATCAGACTTGGATTCAGAGTCACAGTATTTAAGGCCAAAACGTTACAGCATGGCTGACTATACCAAGGTCCATGTAGTCTTAAGCTGGACCTCCTACAACACATTTAAATACCTAGAAGTTTTTACCAAAACCTTTTCATAAAAATCTATCCAAATATAAACCAGCGGAATTCAGGCTGAATTTTACTGAAGGAGACTGGTGTTCACAACCCCAGGAGTACAATAGCACAGCCACCCCCAAAATGAAGGTCTCAGCCATGCAGCCAAAGATGTTCCATGCCCCAGATGGCAGTGAGCCCCCGCTATTTAATATGACTCAAACATGGCCTCTCGCCTTCGGTTACAGCTATAATCTTCATTTCAGCACATTCACATCGACTTTACATCAGAACATATTATAAGGGTAACAACACAGACTGAGACTGCAGCTCAGCAGACTTTCCCATCGACCCTGAAAACCGAACTACTGCCAGTGAGTTTGTTTTGCAATGCTGAGGCCAGAGCTACCACTAATGTCACGTTTTAAACTGCTTAAAGCCCCGCCTTTCCAGTGGAGTTTCATTGTATAAAGGATTTTTAATATGGTTCTCATCATCATTAATCCGTTCATTCATTCGTTCACTATCTATTTGATTTATGCCATTGTATAGATTTATGCCATTGTATTGCCATAAAACAAGGTCTATAATTTGCACTACAAAATTCTGTTTTTCACATCATTTCTGTTGTCACCTCTGAAGCACTTCTATTTATACAAAGCCCTTCTGACCACAATGCACCATTATCGAAGCATATACAGCTCCCCACATGGGAGATGTCATCACAGGGGAATATGCACCAAGCAGTGCAGCCATTATACAGGTAAGGGCATTTTCAGAGTTGACCCACTGAGAGCCATAAATTAGGCCAAAGTCCCGTTACATGGAGAGTCAAGAAGTAGGCAGTTGTTCAGACTATTCAGTAATACCTGCATAGCAACATCTAATGTATAAGAGCCAGGCTAAAAGTCCCCTCTGCTACTGAAAGATAATGTGCCTCAAGAGGGCCTCATTTGATTCAGTATTTAAGTCTAGGGGCCGTCATCCTCGGTTAAAGAACAGAGTACATCTGATATGTCAATCTGTGCATGGCCCTAACACAAATATGACATCCACCTGCACCCAACACCTGCCGCAACGCCCCACCAGGTACAGTCCTGTCCAGAGAGCAGCAGCCCACTAGGTGCAGAAACTCACTGGCGCCCCCTAATGCAGGTCCAAACAGCAGCAGCCCACAGGGTGCATTAGAGGGCACTGGCACACAGAGGCGTCTATGCAGGTCCTCAGTGCTTCAGTCTGCTGTGAAGCTCACTCATTTGCACATTCGGCTGGTGAAGAAGCCCGATGAGAAAATCCCATCTAATTCTACGTAACAGACCCTTCTGACAGGGCTGGACTGGGAGGTGTATTCTGCCTTGCTTACAGCTGCAGGGGTCTGTTGGTGTAAAGGTAAGTGGTGAGAGCTCAGGAACTGCTGCTATGCACCGTGAGGAAATGCACACGTTGTACTTTTGTAGAATCTTTTCATCTGAAACCAGAATCAGTGTGGTGTGAGTCGGAGACCCAGCTGGACAGCAACCAATGAAAGGCTGTCAGCGGTATGACGCGTGATGTAGAAGCTGAACCCCTGGACTTTGGACAGGAGAGTCAAGTGACGCATAAATAGCAATTCTGTGTATGGTTACACCAGGGACAGTAACTGTTTCCAGATGTGGGTTGCTTTTTGTTTCTCTTCCCCTTTTAACCACTTAATATACAGCATTTGGCTTAGACAAAAAGCTGCAGAGAGCTCCAGGAGAACAGAAGTTAAGTAAAAGCTCAACAGAAATCCAGGAGACGCAGCACATATGGATGAAACGGAGATTCCCAATTTGGGGGTTATAAACCATGCAAAACTACAGCAGCAAACAAAAGCAACAGCACACAACTTTGGGGAGGCCCTGTGCCCCAGGTGGTACCTGTGTTGAAGGTGCCGTCCGGAATGAAGAAAGCGCCCACTGTTATACCAACCAGGATCAGGAACTTGAAGAACCAGAACCTGAGAAAGTAACACAGTAGGCTTCAGAACCTCAAATCACCCCCAGCCAAAGCCCAGATGGGCTCCTGCAGTACTGTGTAGCCCAATGGGTCAGGAATTGGGGTCTGTGTCCAGAAGCCTGCTCTCACCTGTATATACATGTTGTGGTCTCATGGAGAGCCAGACAGAATGTGTGAAAACTCCCCAATGTCCCCATGGCAATGAATAAAAGTACCATTATTCTATCCCCAGTACCCTCAGTCAAGGCATTTAATGAGGAAAAGTAGAGTATTTCCAAAGCCCATCCGTCTTCTCAGTCCCCTTTCATGCGGGATTCGGGCTGCGCAGAGTGATTTGGCCTCGCTGAATAAAGGAGGGGATGAGCGGAATGCTGGCTTCAAGAGGCCTCCCAGGACGCCCTAGACAGACCGCATACGGGTTCACCAAGGGGGTGACCTGTGAAAGGCACACCGCTAATGGGCAGAGCTGCCAATACTAGCGTCTCACACAAAGAGGTGCTCTACACACTGCCAGCAACTCTCATATCCCTGCCAGCAGGAAACAGGCTTACCCAGGAAAAGGGGGGGAAAAAAAAAAGAGAAAAAGAAAAGCCATGAATGTCTCTCTTTTCTTCGCTGCCAGTCTGGGTGGCTGTGTTGGTGCCCTGAGACACTGCCAAGGCGGGGCAGCAGAGGGTGCCACTCCCTTAAGATCACATTTAACCCTGGCGCCCCTGATCCTGGTGCTGGCAGTCTGGTGAGGGTGCACCGAGTTAATTATGCATTACCAAACCTGTTACACTCACACTGAGTGGGGGCTGCTCTCCAAAACGGCCTGCCATTTCTGCCATTTGGTATTTGATCCAGCAGCATTACTGCTGTACCACCCGCTGCCTATTTTACAAGTCTTTCCCAGTATCAAGGCTGTGGGATTATTCAAATAAAGTGGAAAGCTCCCTTAGCATCAGCGGCGTGTGGCTTTGCAGGATAGGCCCTCTATCTATAATCAGAAGGTCGTCGGTTCAAATCTCAGCAGAGTGACCATATCACCATTAGGCCCTTAACCCCAAGGACTGCTAAATTACCCTGTGCCCCGACACCAAGCTTTGCTCTCCTCTCTATATATCTGTGGGTGTGTGTGTCACTAATAGGAGAGCATGATGAGATATACGAAAACCAAAGAATCCCTTTATACTTCAAGTGTTATATCTCAAAATATGTATCCAGGACCCCCCCGAGCTGTTACGTACCCGTTCTGCAGGGCGGCACGGGGGTCCTTGCTGCTGCGCACACGCACCATGATGATAGCGAAAAAGAAGAAGAAGCAGGCCATGGCGAAGCACATGCGGTAGACGGACTTATAACCGACGAGGACGTCACAGTTCACCTGATTCTCTAAACCTGGTATAGAGCTGCCACCTTTGCAGAAGCCCGGAATCTGAAAGCACAGGAGAAGCACATGGCCACTGAGGCACGCAGGTGCACATATGTACATGTGTACCCTCAACACGCTCAACACCGCTCCCTCAACAAAAGCAGATCCTATACGCCGATCACAGACTGAGCAACCTGCTAAGTAAACACATTTAAAACTTGTTTCTCCCGTTCTCCTGTACCTAGAGAATCCTTCAAGGTTGAAATCAAATCCAAAACACTGACAGCACTGAGCTACTGGGTCAAATCATTCTAGCCGGTGGAAGCGTAGAAATCTCCACCACTGCTGGCCCCTTGAGTGGTGTGTGCACTTCGTGTCAGCTAAGTATGAATCTGACACATAAGGTCACTTTTACCGACAAATGAGGATGGTCCAGCTGAGCCATCTGTCCTGTGGGTGAGGACGGGGCTCAGCTGCGCAGCCGACTTACCTTTCGGAGCTGGTCCTCCATGCCTGGCAGGATCATGATGACAGACACGAGGGTACCAAGGAGCAGGAAGAAGGAAAAGATCAGCCTGGTCACCGTGGAGTTGTTACTGAAGGGGCAGCAGCCACACAGCAGACAGGGGGCCGAGCCGCACAGACAGGAGGCCTAATATGAAAGAGAGAGACAGGTAGTTAGATGCAGATGGCGGCTGGACACAATGTCTAATGCAAGACAGGTGGGCAGCTGGACACAATGTCTGGTTTGGTGAGAATGAGAACAAGAGAAAGACAATGAGTAGGACAGGCCGATACAAAAGGGCAGAAAGAGAATGACCTTTGAGGATGTAAGACAAAAACAAAGTCATAACACAAACAATGAGGGTTTGGCTGGTTTAACTACATCAGTTCTTATTGCTGGCAGTTAAAACTAGTCATGCACCGTTTGAGCTACGTCATTTTAAAGGAACCTGCAAGAGGAACACATGCGTCACTATGGAAAGACGCTTACTTAAAAGAAAATAATAAAAGACAAGAACTGCTCACTTAAATTATAAGCAAGGGACCAGGGCTGAAACGGTACTCATTCTTGTCATGTAACATTCAGTACATCATTTTCAGTTTGGTACAGACAATGAAATGAATGAATACATACAATATAATCAGAACCTAAATTCACAAGTAGATTTTAATTATGGAAAAGATTGTGCCAATTGAGGCAGTGAGATAGTTACAGTAAGTGACAGGTATGGGAACATTTTAGTTTCCCAATAAATTACACCAGCACTGTAGAGAGAGAGTAGTTGATAAGACCAGGATTGTCTGTTGGCTCTTATACCAAACTCTGAAATGTTTCCGAAAACACACCCAACACAGAGGGTGCATATGACGGATGATCTGCCGGAGCAAATAGGGGTATTTATTTACAGATATGCAACCACACTATGTAGTAGAGAACATGGGAAATAGACAGAATTTACTTAATGATTGTTATGATGTTATTTATTTAATTATTTATTTTTACAATGTGCAAATAATTGTAAAATAAAAGTGTTTCTTAGGTTTTGCTATTCAAACATATTGACAAACGCATTGCCTTTTGTTTACAACTGCTCCTAACTATTTTTGTTTGCAATATTAATTTCAAAGCAAATTGTTTTCCCTGCAGTACTGAAACTGCACCAAGCCGTAAATTGCACCCAAGTTAATTTTGTGTACCATTATACCCCTACAAAGTACATATGCAAGAATATTTCTATAAAGCGTGTAAATGGCCACTATTGCATGACTGGAAGGTCATGTTTTATTGGTGGAGAATTTAACCAAATTTCATTTTGACACATGTACTTTAAATTATGAAGTCACCGCTGTCTGATGTATGACGTCACAATATATGAAGGAAGTTTTATTCCAAATAAAGGAATCGATTGCAACACTGGTAGAGGAATTGCAAACACCCTACACGGAAATAGTGACATCAGTAAACTGGGATAAATTTAAAACATTACTGACTACTAGTACTAAGCTACGTTTTTAAATACCACGTCCGTAAAAATTTAAATTGTATTTTGATCAAAACGTCCGTCATAATTCGTCGTGGTGTTGACCCTTGCTCCAACTCCTTAAATTGCCTTAATCTAAATTTACAAAACACCAAGGAACGGTATCATTTTAAGTAAAATTACAAACCAAAGAAATTTTAACTTGACAAATTCACGTAAACGACTCACCAGCCATAGTAAAAAAATTCCCATGGTTTTACACTCTATGTGGCACACTAATAAATAGACACATTATAACACAATACCCGTTAAGACAGACTACGAGCCATTTCGAATTAAAATCGTCTACAAGTTATGCACATAGCCAACCCTTTAACATCAATATATTAAATTTATCGCCAGCTGCACACTATACAGTATCTCCCCGGTCGCATGTAATTTCAAGTACTAACATTAACAACGACAACAGTCACTAAAATAAATTCACATTTTTCACACGCAGCGTTTAGCTAGTTAGCGTTAGCAACCGCTGAACGTGATGTAAATTAAATGTCGACTTACGCAGCTGGCCAGAGAACATAATGCCATACAAGCACCCATCTTCCTTTCCTTCCTCTTCTTCTTTACTTTGGTGGAGGACGATACAGATCACAGAAAATAAATACGGAAAATGTGGCTGACGAGCAGCTGACCGCAGACGTGCTTACGCTCCTCTTCGCGCAGCGGCCGCCTCTCCCCATTCCATTCGCTTTGACGGGGTTGCCAGTCTGAGATGGTGATTTAACAGTAATCTCCCGTACTGGATCGGAGGAACCAAACAATCATAAAAAAAATAAAATAAAACGATAAGCCAAACGACACCCCTGCTGAATGTAATATCCATATCTGGGTGGAAACACTTCATAATAAGATCCGTCCATTTCCAATCGCTTATCCCAGATAGGGTCGCCAGGGCTGGGCGATGAGGTTGCCTAGTACCTATCCAGGCAGCACAGAGCACACCTCTGGAGTACACCCTGGATGCCAGTCCATCACAGGGTACATGCATATATAGGTCTGACTCTGTGATTGGCTACTCTGGAAACCAGACTGGAAATTGTTGTGGAGACAGTTATCGAACCCACAGCCTTGGAGACACCTTGCTACATCAGATAATAAGATCCCCTGTAAAATAACAAACATTTTGAGACTAACTGAACAGTTTCCTGGGCAGAAGAAGACCAGCCTGGTGACCGTGGAGCTCATTACTGGGCGCCCTGCCCAGATAACTGGACGATCTGTGTTACTTAAAAGCGCATCATCTGGCAACCTTGCTGCGAAAATATCGGAAGACAGCCCCCTAGCGACCAAATCTTACATGTTGGGTAAACTTATATCATTCCCGAATTATTTACGGTTTAACGCAAGAAATATTGCCTAGGATCTAATTAACAAAAATTGCTAATAAATTACGTTCTTATATCTCAGCTACGCAGTTAGAAAAGATGATGATGATGAAATGAAGTATATTTGATATATAGGCAATTTCTTTTTTTTTTTTTAAATCGATCAAAATCAGTAAACGGTGTCCCGGGGTATCGTTTAAAATGCAATTCTAATGATTTGATTAAGCCTATAAGCAGGAAACATTAATTGAACGATATAACATATAATTTACTGTCAAATTATTACCGGTCATGTTCAGAATCACAATAGGCCTACTTTTATTATTCTGGAGGAAAATACATTGTAATTGCAGTCTGTGCAGTACACAGATGCACAAAAAGACCAAAATAGGCAATGCACAATAACATATGGAGATGGTAATAAGTAGGTAAATATGAAAATAATTACAGTACGGTGGCGAAGAATATTGAAATTTCGCCTGTGAAATATTTCATGAAAAACTTGTTACACGCGCGAGCACACACACACACACACACACATATATATATAGTGCTCCCCTTTTATTATCGAGTATCAGCTGATTGAGAGGTGCCACTGTTCCCCTTTTATTATCGAGTACCAGCTGATTGAGAGGTATTCTGAGGGGAAAGAGGGAGGTGCTGGTGCTGCATAGCAGTGAGTACTGGTGAGTGAGTACAGGCAGTGGCGGTACAGACTGAATGCCCTTCGGGAGGAATGATTTCCTGTGGCGCTCAGTGGAGCATTTTATGTTGAGAAATATTCTGACATGCTGGTAAAATCACTTCGGTCAAATCATTTTATGAATATGTACAACTGATTGAGTAATCTGTAATTTTCTGTTACTTGTGTATTTCTGTGTATTAATTAAGCACACATTGTCCAAAGTGGTATTTTTCTCATACCGTGAAAACATTATGTTTATCTTTAAATGACTATGGCATTTTTAAACCAATAAAATTTCCTAATACTACGAACAAATCAGTGCAGTGTGACCAGCCAGATGCACAATCAGACCTGCATTCCCCAAACCCCAGAACATTCACATCAGACGATGCAGATCCAGGGCCACAAAGATCGTTAGGGATCCCAGCCACCCCAACAACGTCCTCTTCTCTGTGTTGAGTTTGGGCAAATGCTACCGCTGCCTGTCGGCCAGCATGGAAAGGCTGAGGAAGAGCTTCTCTCCAAAGGCAATCCGGGCCCTAAATGAGCACAGTGTTTAGGACCTGCACACCAATGTCCTCAACAGCCTATTCACCACACACATGTAAATTTGTAAATATGGGTTTATTCTGGTCTTTAGCACAACCTAGACATACTGCCAGTTTTGCACCATGGATATTAATGATGATTATTTAATGTTTAATGCTTCATTGGATGGGCTGGGTCATGGTGGCACAGCACAGGGGACTGGATGTATGTATGTATGTATGAATGGATGGATCTATGAGATACAGAAATAAATTCCTATGGAAAATGTAAAAATCTAGCGCCCTCTATTGGAGAATTATACCAATAATTTTACACTGAAATAAGAAAGGCATATTTGTCTTATTGTATTCAACAAAAATGAAATAACAGGGAACTCTATGCAATAATGTGAGCACTTATTCTGGAAAACCGTATCTTTGTGGGAGTGAGTTTCATTCATGGCCCCCGACAGCAGTAGCAGTGTTGTTTTGGTAGGATTACCATTTAATCCATCTCAGAAAGGACCAGGTTTTATAAACTACTTTAAAACTGAAAAGGTTCATGTGCTTAGCTAATTAGTTCAGTTCTTCATGTGCTTTGACTGCTTTGTTTCCTTGATTGAAAGACTCACGCAGCTGTTTTAAGGTTAAGGTTACTTTATTGTCATCAACGGCTTTATACAAGTACAAAGTGTGAGACAACGTTTCCCCATGGTTCCGGTGCAACATCTAGTAACACTGAACATCACATACAACAGGGCAAAAAGGTGCAAACAGGCAACACAATAAAGTTCAAAGGGTGCGATCACATTACAGTACACAACAAGTTACAATGAATATATGGAACAATAAAAGGACAGAACAGTACACAACACTACACAACACTCCAGTATTTTTGAGTGGGGAGCCTTAGTGACTGAAATTGCACATGGTAATTATATTATATTGCGTGGCACTATTGCACTGGTTACTATATTGTACAGAGTAACCATGAAAGTGCAGGTATGAGGCATTTCAGAAGAGCTATGATCTAAATTTAAAGTGTGTTCAGAGCCCTGATGGCTTGTGGAACGAAGCTGTTACACAGTCTCGTGGAGGCAGAACGGAAGCTACGATACCGTTTGCCAGATGGTAAGAGTGAAAAGCGTCCATGTAATGGATGGTAGTGATCCTTCACTATGTTTCTGGCTCTGTTGCAGCAGTGGGTCTTGAAAATGTCTTTCAAGTGAGGTAGGGGCACCGATAACCTTCTCAGCTGCTTTCACTATCCGCTGCAGATAGTTCCGGTCTGAAGCCTTGCAGTTCCCGTACCAGACCGTGATGCAGCTGGAGAGAAGGCTTTCGATGGTGCTGGTGTAGAATGTCTTGAGGATCTGTGGTGGGAGGCGCTCTTTTCAGTCTTCGCAGAAAGTGCAGCCGCTGACGAGCCCTCTTACCTTTAGAGGAGGAGTTGAGGGACCAAGAAAGGTCCTCCGTAATATGGACGCCCAGGAACTTGGTGTTTTGCACCCTCTCGACAACAGCGCCGTTGATGGTTATACTGTAGGTGGATGCACAGTGCTGGATCTCCTGAAGTCGATGATTATTTCTTTTGTTTTGTCCACATTTAATGAGAGGTTGTTGTTCTTGCACCAGTCTGCCACTCTTCCCACCTCCTCTGTGTATGCTGAGATGTCATTGTTTTTGATGAGGCCCACCACAGTCATGTCATCTGCAAATCTAATGATGTGGTTTGAGCTGAGCTCTGCTGTGCAGTCGTGAGTGAGTAGCGTGAAGAGCAATGGGCTGAGCACACAGCCCTGCGGTGCACCTGTGCTCAGTGTGATAGTGTTGGAGGTGTTGGTGCCGATCTGTACAGACTGTGGCCTGTCAGTCAGGAAGTCAAGGATCCAGTTCACTAAGGGGGTATTTAGGCCCAACCCACTCAGTTTAGGTGACAGTTTCTGAAGGATGATGGTATTGAAAGCTAAAGTCAATGAACAGCATCCTCACGTGAGAGTCTTTCTTTTCCAAGTAGGTCAGTGACAGGTGAAGTGCAGTGGATATGGCATCGTCAGTCGACCGGTTCTGACGGTAGGCAAACTGGAGGGGGTTGAGAGAGCTGGGAAGATTGGCTTTGATGTGGCCCATGACTAGTCTCTCGAAGCACTTCATGATAATCAGTGTTAAGGCCACGGGACGGTAATCATTCAGGCAGGACACTGCTGATTTCTTCGGAACTGGGACGATTGTGCTGGTCTTGAAACATACTGGAACAGCAGCCTGTTTCAGGGAAGTGTTAAAAATGTCTGTGAGAGTGTCTGCCAGCTGGTCTGCACACTCCCTCAGCACTCGAACCCGGGATGTTGTCGGGGCCGGCAGCTTTGGCGGGTTAACTCTGGATAGGGTCTGTTTTACTTTAGCAATAGTGATACATGCATGATTAATGGAGACTTACCAACCAGCACACAGCAATAAATAGTGCTTAAGTGAAATCCAGGTAATTTTTATTGAAATGGTAATTTACAAATCCTGTCCTAGCTCAAAGTGTCCTTCCTGACATCAATTAACTGGTAACCTTAGTTGTGGGGAAAAGAATCCATGGACACAACTAGGTAAGCATGAATGGTTGGGATATAGTTCCCCATGCACCACTAGATGATAATTTCTTAGCACTGCAAATGTGATGGGGCAGTGCCAACAGCATAGCTACATTAATGCCAGAGGCAGGGATGAAAGCAGAGAAATGCTAGCGCCTGTGCTAACAGCATAGTTGCGTTAATGCCAGAGGCAGTGATGAAAGCAGGGAAATGCTAGCGCCTGTGCTAACAGCATAGCTGCGTTAATGTCAGAGGCAGTGATGAATGCAGAGAAATGCTAGCGCCTGTGCCAACAGCATAGTTGCGTTAATGCCAGAGGCAGTGATGAAAGCAGGGAAATGCTAGAGCCTGTGCCAACAGCATAGCTGCGTTAATGCCAGAGGCAGTGGTGAAAGCAGGGAAATGCTAGCGCCTGTGCTAACAGCAAAGCTGCGTTAATGCCAGAGGCAGTGGTGAATGCAGAGAAATGCTAGCGCCTGTGCTAACAGCATAGCTGCGTTAATGCCAGAGGCAGTGGTGAATGTAGAGAAATGCTAGCGCCTGTGCTAACAGCATAGCTGCGTTAAT